ACACTCCCTCCCAGGTTAATTGCTTAATTTATTCTACCGATCATCTGGCTCGACTAAGTTGTAATGCCCCAACTCGGGACGGTAATTTACTGCTGCTAAACTGCGGCTACTGTTTCGCTTCGGGGACCTCCAACGAGCGCCGCTTGACAAGATCCCAGGCAGCAAACAAACCCAAAGGAAGCTGCGGCTGAAGCTCGGCCAACAATTGAACTGCAATAAAACAATTTACCCAAAATAGCGCTCGGCCCAAGAGCAATCTGCTGGTTAACCCGACATCTGACTGTTGCCACACTGAGCAAAAATAACTGAAATGTATTTAGTACAAATATGAATACACCTTTTATAATTTTTTTTTCCCAGTTGAGTAGCCTTCATGAATTGGATATTTATACCCTTAAAGGGTATCTTAAAGTTAGTTTACGAAGTGAAGAAGTCTTTTTTGACTCTATATATAATATATCTTGATCAGCATTAACCATTTACCTAATTTTTATCAATTTTAGGTGGCTATTAGACCCATCCAGGCTCTAGGGTAAAGCTTGTCCCTTTTTGTTTTTGAAAACCTACCCTTTTTGTATTAATTTTTCTGCCAGTGCACGACTACCACTGGGACTGGGCCCTGGAGCAACATTTATCATTGAAATGTGGCGTGCGGCTTCTACGCAGTCGCAGCAGCAGCCGTTGCCGAGGATGCTTTGCGGCACCAAAACGAGCTCCCGAAACTCTCTTTTGACTTTGGCGGTTGCTTTGCATATATGCAGTGTGGGGCAGGGCTCCAAGGGGCGGCAGAGGGGCGTGCCAGTTGGCCGATAAACTAGCCAGTTTAGCCGTCCAGTCAGCCGCGTAAGTCAGAGGCACTTCGACCGTGGACCGGGAAAATCAATTCATTGGCAACCGAAGCAAACTGAAACTGAACAGATTTCCCTTTATCTCCTGGCGGCGGCCTCTAGCCTGTCCGTCTCGGCTGGTCGGCTGATTTGCATATGTTTTAGTGCTGCTCCTGTTGGGTACTTTGTTGCCTCGGTAGTGGCCACAAAGGCCCTCATAATTGCTTGATTTAGCGACCCATTCAAGACGAGTAGTCGGCGCCAGTTGCATCTCTGGCCCACAGCTCCCGGCGATCGCTGGCTCTCAAGTTCCCGGGCTATCCCCTCGGGTGCAAATTGTCGGCCGAGAATGCTACGTGTGGCGCTGCCTGCACGTGGAAAAATATATGAGCATGATCAATAAATTAATCAAATATTTAATGGTAATAAAATGTCATAAAGACCTGGCTGGCTTGGAACCTATAAACACACCATATTCATATATTTTTATTATATAATTTAATTCCCTTTCAAGTCGAGTTCTAGGTTCTCTTTTTTGTTTTCTGTGCAGACTCCACTGTTATGGTTTTCGCTGTTGTAGTGATCACAGTGGTAGTGGGTGTCGTGGCGGTTTGTGTCGCGTAAATTGCCAAGCAATTCATAAATGTCAACGCGTCTTGCATGAGCGATGGAAACAGGCTGCTGGGAGGCTCCGAGTTGGGGAGATTTATGTGTTTGTTTGGCCAGTGGCATCGGTTGGTCAACAATTAGAAAAGGTTCAAGAACCCAAAGCCGGCTAATCTAAACAGAAGCTCAAGAAAAGAAACAGATTGAACAGATTTTTTTGTTAATTATCAGAGAAGCACCATGGAAACCTTTATATAATTATAATAAACGGAACTGGTTTTATCTTTTATATTTCCTTACCCCCAGGATATTAAAATTTTTGAATAGAATATGTGCTAAGCCCTAACATCTGTTTATTCTTCACCCCTTACCTTTTTTTTCTGTTAAAAAAGATTTCTAATATTAACAGACTGTAAGCCTATGGGTAATACCTAACTTCAGAAACGTTCAAATAAAAAATCTTACAACTGTAGCCTAAACTTCATTACGGTATCATAAAGTTAAGTTTAAAAGACGCTCTCTCTCGCCACCAGTTTCCCTTGACACCGAGCCCTTTCGACTCTATTTGCTCCTTTTTGCATCCTGCTGACTTCCAACTGTCCTCGTCTTGGCCTCTGATCAAAATATTTGCATAAGCAGAAGCCTGAATTACAGTTCAAGTCCGAAAACCTCGACGGCAAAGAGCGAAAGGCAAAAACTAAAGGTGAGCAGCGGCGTCATGTGCGCTCAGATACAGATACAGAGGCACCGAGCCGAAACCCAACCAAGTCGACGACGACAGCAGGCACGCGCCCCGATCCCCAGGCCCGAACCCAGGAACTCAGGTAGTGCAAGGCAGCCTGCCAAAAGGAAGGCGAAAAAGCAAAGAGAGCAAAAAACAAGGACCCAGAAATGTGCAACTGTTGGGCAAACGATCGCACGGGTGAATAACCCATGAGATGTTCCTCAGGGAATCTCGATCTAGTGGAGCTTAGTTTATAATTTTCGGCAGGAAAAAGCTGCTGCTGCTGCTGCTGCTTTTGATGGAAGATGTTATCGTATCTAATATCTGTGCGCGCTGCTCGATCAAATTACAGTTCCGGTCAAGATTGAGCATTTGGTTCCGCTCTGGACCCAAAGGACCAAGGGTATCCTGCCCGTTAACCTCAACTTAATGATTTGGCCGCTGCTGCCTTTGGTTGCCTTTGCTGCCTGCGCTTCAAGTGCAGCATATGGCGTTTTCCCCGCTCGCTGTGGCTTCAGCACAACTGACGCAGGATACGCAGGACGCAGGATCGCAATGCCGGCCTACCTACGAGCTCACTTCCTATCCTGCACCTTCCCCTCCCTCTGCCTCTTTCATCCGGGAGTATGTAAAAAGATCAATCAAATATTGAGTTCCCTTCGTCGAGTTTGACGCTCCCTAGAAGGAATTCTACTCGTATCTAGATGCCACTTGACTCTGGCATTTTTTTTTTTAGCGTTTTTACCGTGTAATAATGGGTATTGAGGTGGGCAGGGTATGCAGAGGGTATGCCAAGGATACATCATTTAAAATTAAAAATATTAAAAAATCTCATTTCTAAGTAATTTCAATTTATTTCTAGCATATTTCCTTTTTAAAATATTAACTATAATAACTCTTCTGATAATAATAATATGTATGATATCTTTTTCAATTATGAAACCATTTCTTTTTGTTCTAGGACATCTCCTAGTCGTTCTGTAACATTCTTTGTGTTTTCTGCCTTTTGCTCAACAGGCAATTTTTATTTTCTTATTTTTCGAATGCCGGTGCTGCTGTGCACCTGCTTGTAGCCTTTTTGGTGCCAGGACGCGCGTCTTTTGACCGCAATCGTGGCCCAGGCCTCGCCAGGAAAGCAGGACAAAGCAAAAATAAGTACCGCACTTACAGGCCAGGCAGACAGCCGGCATACTTACATATGGACATATGTATGTGACTCGCTTAACTGTTAAGCTTGGCGCGCTTACAACATCGCCGAGGACTCGGAAGATACTGGGGAGCAAGGATCCTGCAGAGAGTGTGTGCCAAAAAGGAAACCGCAGTTTTACAGAAAAATCGCAAAAGCCAAAACGAATCCGAGCTCCTCGTCGTTCGTCCTGGGCCCCACAAACCACTTTCGTTTATTTTAATTTGGCCTGCGGTCCTGGGGATCGGGCAGAGATCGGAGATCGGGGTAAGGGCTAAGGGGAATCGAGGATCGGAGAATTGGCAGCCAGCCTGCTGCAATCTGACAAGAGCCTGCTGCATTTAATAACTGTTTTCGTTTTTGCCGCTTGTACAGGGATACTCTTTCAAAGGGCAACGCAAATGGGAACAGAGAAACGTTTTATTCGTTTTATAAATCTCTCACAAAAATCTACCTAAATTGCCATAAATATAAAAACAAAGCCAGACCAGGACGCAGAATAATTTTAAATGAAACATTCTCTGCTTTACTATTTTTAATACTATTAACTTCAATCTACTGCTAAAATCTTTACTCCAAGAGTATTTAAAGCTTCGGTTTACCAAAGCTTAGCTCTATATTTTATGTTTTCTGTTCCAACAACTCCCAAGCTCATCTGCTGGTGTGTGTGAGACCCCGGAGTGCTCACGACCTGGTCTTGTATCTGGACACTCAATAGCGGTTTGCGGTGCACGTGCCACTTTTTGCAGCTTGCACGAGATGTCCACCGGTCGGTCGACCGACTTCTTATCTCCCCAAACACCGCGCCTTGAGTTTAATTAAGTTTTATTTATGTTAACGAGCCCTTGGCTTTTAGTCAAATCAAAGTACAGGGCTCGAGCATGGACGCCAGATTCGCCAAGTCAATGTAGAACGTATTAGACATATTCAGAGGGATTTTTGATTAATCAGGGCAAGGACTTATAGTACTCTTTATACTAGGGTTCGCAAATAAGAGTTAAAACTTAAACTTAATACCAAAAATTGAGCTGGCACGAATGACTTTCCAGAAACTAGTAGTACATTTTTATAAAGAATATGAATTTATTAATACCTGTTTAATTTTAATAAAAACAAAACCGTACAATTTTGATTAATCTATAAAAGTTGAAAAATAACTTTTATTTGTTAATTTTTTAAAATTATAATTAATAAAAAAATAAGAATTATTTTTTCAATTTGCATTATGCATTGTTATGTATTGTATTATTTGTTGAATTGAAATAACTTTTGAACGCAGCGGTATTAAAAAAATAACATGTATAAGATAAGTTAACTTATGTAACATATGTACATACATATATGTATACATATATAAATAAACAAAGCCAAGTCAATCTTAATATTTCTTAACTTTTTTTTTTTAACCACAAAACAAAGGGTTTTAACCCTTTTTTTTTTTATTTTTTTTTTAATTTTACATATACAAAAATATTATACAAATAAAACCATTTTTACAACTTGTAGAAAGTAAAGTAACCCAATGTAAAGTAAGAAAGCCAACGTAAAAACGTAAAAAGCTCAAAAAGCTATAACAATGTACAAAAACTTGAATGGCAGCAAATGCAAAAAAGAAAAACGAAAAAGGGACCAAAAAAGTGTCTTTTCTCCGTCTAACTCGAATTTTTAATTGGTATTTTTTATTTTCTTTTTTCATAATCTAATTAGGCTTTTCATATTATATAAAATTACGGCAACCATTATATATAATATCGGGAATTCAAGCATCTTTCTTTAGTTTCTAGTGTCTGGTGAACTATAATTCACTTAAGCTGATCGAAGGCCTGTCGAAGCATCTGATTGCACAGGGCTGCGAAGGGATTGATTTCCACAAGCTAAAAAGGACAATGCTAACTCTATTAGTTTTCAGGTTAAGCTTCATCCATTACCTGTTCTTTGGCAAACTTGCTGCCCAACTGAGCTGCTGCCTCGAAATCGGATCGGGCTGCATCCAAGTTATCCAGCTTGCGATAGAGAACCCCTCGCTGGCAAAGTGCGTGGCTTTTGGTGCGGTTCTCCTGAGGACTAGCCAGTTCTACGGCCCTATTTAAGTCATCCAGGGCCTCTGAAAATATGAATATCTGCTTAATAAGTCTGCACAAATTGATTATGTGTAGCGGAAATTAAGATAAAAATTAAAGAGAAAAACCACCTTCATCCCGCTGCGCCAGTCGTAGTGCCTGAGCCCGATTGTTCAGCACTGAGGGCCTCTGGGCCAGATCTAAGGCCTGGCGGAATAGCTCCAGGGCCTCCGTTAGCTCCCCCTTTTCGGACAAGCAAATGGCCTTCAGCTCCAGCTCCCTGGACGCCCTGATGGCTTCCGTGTCGGGCTCTAGATCTATTAGGTCGGCTTCGGCGGGCACTGCGTCATTCGGCTGGAGGCTACTGAGCTCGAGGGGATTGAAGATGGAATCCAGCACCTGCTGGTCATGTGGACTCAGCTTGAGATTGGCCTGCGGCATTATCCGATGTGATATACTGGAGGGTTACGAGCAAACTAATAGACAAAACATCAAAACAAACTGGACTGAGGAGACCAAAATGCAAATTGTGTGGTTCAACCTGTTCGGAGAGCAAGATGCTTGGAAAAATCTTAATTAAATATGCGAATTGAATCGTTTAATATGCCTGTTGATATATTCATAGAGATCAGTCCAAATGGTTGGATTATAGACAGAGAGTGAGAATGCAGTGCTCAGATAAGTCTCGGGATATGCCTTTGAAGCTTGATTGGAAAAGTCAAGATCGGTAGACCTATTTAAGGTGTTTCTCACCAAATTTAATGGGACACTCTAGGTTTATATGATTCATGATTCTTGATAATAATTAATACGTAAATTACTACGCAAATGCTGCTGTTATAGACACTAGCTTCTAATATAATAAAAATATTAATGAATCACAAATTTATATCAAATACGCACAATATTATTGTCACGCGCAGCAGTCGTTTTGGAATATATTTGCCACTAGGGTCAATACAATCAAACCTTCCTTAATTATGGAGATAAGAAAGCCTCGCTTTGGTTTGGCAGCAAGCCAAACCTAGTTGTCGTTATGAGTAGTTTTCGAAACAATCAGTCAGTACAGAAGTCAACGTTCTCAGATCTGAACCTAAAAATGGCAAAGCTGACAATCATCCTTTTCCTATTCGCCCTGTGCGCCGTAAGTCACAATCTAATGTCCAGGCAAGGATATTTTTGTAAGCTAACAAGGAACTTTACCTCCGTTTTCAGGTGGCCACGTCCAATCACTTCTACCATTTGATATCTCGAACAGACCATTCAACAGTAACCTTCAGTCCGGTAACCTCAACCAATTAATTGTTTAAATACCAAGAACATTAAAATCTATTTATTTACTTAGCTCATTCACCACAACATGCATATAGAGATACAGGGTGAGACAGAAAAAGTAAACGAATTCTTAAAAAAGGTGGACGAGGGAAGAGTGAGACTAGAAGGTCCGTATCCTGGTATCGATATACAAAAGAAGTTTATCCCTTGGTGCGGCACGGTCGATGAAGAGGACTTGGAGAAAACTAAAGACAAGAATATTATAACTGAGGAGGAGGAATAATATGAACTGAGGAGACCAAAATTCTAATTGTGTGTTCGGAGAAAAATCCTCAATAAAAAGTATGTGAATAGAATCGTTTAATGTGTCTGTTGTTGGGTTGATATATTCATAGAGATCAGTCCAACAGGTTGGTTTATAGACAGAGAGAGAGAGAGATAAGTCTTGGGATATATCTTTGATGCTAGATCGAAAACCTCAAGATCGAAAGGCCTTCTCTGCACAATTTAAATTTAATGGGACAATCTATATTTATATAATTCATAATTCTTGATAATAAGTAAACTACTACAGAGAGCTGCTGCTCTATAAGTACCGGAAATAATAAAAAATATAAATGAATAACAAATATAAACCAAATATGTTACGCACAATATTATTGTCACGCGCAGCACTCGTTTGGGAATATATTTGCCACTAGGGTCAATACAGTCAGACCTTCTTAAATTTCGGCGATAAGAAAGCCTCGCATCGATTTGGCAGCAAGCCAAACCGAGTTGTCGTTTTGAGTAGTTTTCGAAACAATCAGTCAGTACAGAAGTCAACGTTCTCAGATCTGAACCTAAAAATGGCAAAGCTGGCAGTCATCCTTTTTCTATTCTCCCTGTGCGCCGTAAGTAACTATCTAATGTCCTGGCAAGGATATTTTTGTAAGCTATCAAGGAACTTTACCTCCGTTTTTAGGTGGCCACATCCAATCCCTTCTTTCGTTTTATATCCCGAACGGACAATTCAACAGTAACCTTCCAATCGATAACGTCAACCAATTAGTTAATTAAATAACAAGTAAATTTAAACCTATTTATTTGATTAGCTCTTTAACGGCAACATGCAGATAGAGATACAGGGTGAGACAGAAAAAGTAAACGAATTCTTAAAGGCGGTGGACGAGGGAAGAGCGAGTCTACAAGAGCCTTATCATGGTGTCAGGATACTAACTAAGATTTCGCCTTGGTGCGCTACGGTGTGATGGAGGGGGAAGACTACTACTGGAGGATTTCAAGCAAACTTATAGACGAGATATCAAAACCAACCTGTTTGAAGAACACAATTAATATAATGATTATTATTGTTGAATTAACTATTCTAAATAAATATAAAGATCAACCCAACCAATTCAATTCCATAGAGAGCAGTGCTCGGTTTTTATAAAAAAACATTTGGTTTTTATTTTTCTTTTCTTATTTTTTTGTTGCTGTTTTTCTTTATGTATATGTAAATACCAAGGACAATATCATTTGTTTTTCACTTTGTTGTTTGCAATAATATAATTAATAATAATATAATATTAAATCAGCGCTTTTGTGTTCATTTCCGTTTCAATTTATATATATATATACCGTTATCATTGCTATGCTAATGCCTTAGATTTGTTGTATTAATTTTGATAAATACAATTACTTTTTAATGTTTCAATAAATTGTTTTGTTTATGCTTTAAATGTTTAACTTTATGTCTGCTCATTCATAATTGTTCTTTACAATATACACAACTGAAATACCTTTATTGGAGTTGTTTACCTTTAAACACTAAGCACTAGTTTAGCTCGATCTTTTGCGTTTATGCCTGGTGTTATGTTTCCTAATTGTCTGACTTTGAAGGGGGGCTTAGAGTTGAAAGAAAACAGAATCAGGGGAATTTTGTCTCGCAAGCAAAAAGCAAATAGGCCCTAAAAAGCAATGGAACCCATACGGATATCTAGGCATATATAGAACTTGTTGTACACTCTATAGAAATATATGTTCTTCTGGGAATATGAGAATATGCTCCTTCGACTTCGGTTTAGTGGTTTTCAGTGGTTCTTACGGTGCTTCGTTCTGTGTCATTACTTTCTTTAGCTTTCTGATATATGCAAGTATGTATGTATGATAAAAAATATAAAAGTGAGCATTGAATGTTATCCTTCTCTCTATATATTATATCATATATCTAGGTATAATACAAGTCCGTGTTGTAAGTGTTAATAGTGTCTATATAGCAGATACAGATATATAACCATTTCTTGTTATGTACTAGGTGGCACAGTTTGTTTTTTGTAGTTGGTTGTTCTTGTTGTGGTCTGGTCTGAATGCATTAGGGAGAGGAGAAGGGTCAGGGAGCAGGAACAGGAGCTTGATAGAGAAATGACTGGGCTTTTGGGGGAAGGATCAACTCAAAAGCGAGACCTGGAAATCAGAGGAGTTCTCTCATCCGGTAATATACACAATCATATATGCTATTTATGTGATATATCGATATATCTACAAGTTGGATTATCTCTGGTTAAAAGTCTAGCTCAATCTTAATCGTACAACAAGTTAGCTCCGGCTGAGGCTCTGCTATTCGGTAAGTGTTAGCTATCCAATATAACCTTTATCCATTATCCATATCAACTATTTCTATCGGCTATTGCTATTTACGATACGATATTTACGTGGTACATGGTTGTGGCTGTGGTTGTGTGGATCTAAATGGTATGGTACATATACGGTTCAATATGGTATTTATAAGCATTCATTTCTTTCGGTTTCTGTTTCTGTTTCGGTTCTGTTTCTGTTTGGTTGAATGAGTTTAAATGCCGTTTACCCTTTTATTAGCATAGCATATAGATAGCATAGCCTGTTCTCTGTCTGTAATCGTAGTTATATATAGTACTATACATATTAATTCACATAAATGTGGGTTTCCTTGCGTGTGGGGTATTGTTGAAGTTGAAATTGAAATGTTCTCCTCACTTTGCTTACAATTGCTTCTCATTGTCGATACAATTTAGATATAGTATAGCACGCGGCTTATATTCCGCATGGTTAATGTGTATACATTATATTAAATAGATATTTATCTCGTAGTTCTCAAAGTTTAAGTTAAGCCCGCAATATACAAAGGCGTACAAGGCAGTCCCCTTGATATATTTCTCCGTCTTCACGCTTGAACATTGCAAAATGATTTTTGTTTTTTATCTCTTTGGTTTCTATAAATTTTGGAAAATTCAACTTGAGTTTTACACTTAGTTTTTACTTAGCTTTCATTTTTTCTTAGTTTTTGTTTTTGTTTTTGTTTGGTAAATTCACTAACAATAAGTAACAGCATAAGCTTCTGCTTGAATTTGGTATTCAAATTTCCATTTGTAGCTAAAAAATGTACACAACTGATATTCAGTAAAGCGTTTAATTACATAATAGTCAACAAAAATACAAGTACCATACCTCATATAACGATTCAATTTCAATTGTATTAATTTTGTATATTTACTTTCCACACAGACACGTAAGTAAGGACATAAAGAGAGTTAATAAGAGAGAGTTAAGCAGAGAAATATAGTTCCACTGGCGATCTGCGATGATCAAATCAGGAGCGGCGGCACAAGGACCCCAAGGACCTTGCACTTTACACATATCAGTAGACACAAAACGAACAAATTGCTCTTATGACATGCAAGGGGTTTCGTCTTATATTCCAAACACTATCACACACAACAAACGAAATCAACAGACTTTTGCCGAAACGATTGACTGAACGATTGACGATTGACTCTGATTCTGATTTGTGAGTGAGTGACAGAGATATACATAGTTTAGATCGTAGATCGTATAATCGAAAGTGAAAGAGAGAGCGAAAAATACTTGGCTTTTTTGTTTTCTTTTGTTTTGTTTTTTCCGTTAAGTTTCGTTTTTGATCTATAAAAAGGATTTTGTTGTTTTGCTAATATTTTACACAATACATATGAAGTTATAGTTTCGCACAATCCGGTGTTCGACGTGCCCCATTCAAGTTGTTATACTCGTATATATTATTTTCTTATTTTGCTCGTGATCGCGCCCTGTCGGCTCGGCTCTTTCCGCTTCACATCGTTTAACTTTTACTTAATGCCAATCAACCTCAAATTTTAAGCGTTCTTTTTGTTGTTCTCTACAGCGTTTAATGTTATTTGTAGCACTTTTAGTGGCAGGAGTGGCCTCCCGCCCTAGCAGTTTCATAATTCGTTTACCATTTTTTTTTATTTGGGGTTTTCGGGGGTCGGAATTGGGTGGGGATAGGGCTCAGGTTTTTCGGTTTGGTGAGGCAGGAGGGGCTTTCCTTTAGTGAAGAGGAGAATACAATTTTGCAGCGGATTTACCTGGTGTTGGCTGTTGCTCTTAAAAACTTTTAACAAACATTCAAAAATCGTGCAGTGTGCAGTTTAAGTTGTACTAATAACAGGGATATGCCTTCGATGCGGTCAGATCGATCGAGAAATCTTAGATTGGGTCACCCATTCGAGGTCTCTCGATAAGCCTTGCCGCACCCAAGTACTTTACTTTGATATTTTGGTTAAAATTTAGAATTAATGCGCTTTTCGGGCTAAGTATCTTTGAGGAGGTGTTGGTGTTTGTCTTCGTGTGTGTGTTTCGTGTGTGCGTGTGTGGGCGTAGCTACTGCATTCTCGTATTAATATATATTTATAATTTTATACATTTTCTGTGAGTTAATTTTACGATTATTTTAATTTTTACAAATTATCTCTGGCTTAGGTGGGCTTCATATTTGTTGTTCTTGGTTTCTTGTTCAATTAGCTGCTGTAAATACAATCAATTTGGCAATATGCATGCATGTGTGTGTGTGTGCCGTGCATATGTATGTGTGTACTTGTGTGTGTGTGTGTTAGTGTGTGTTTGTTTCTAACAAAAGCGACAATTCATTGCTAGTTTTTCTTGCTGATTATTTTTACATTTTACAGTGAGTGTGTCGTCTGTGCCTGTGCTATGCGATTTTTCTTAATTTTTCTCTGCATCGTCTCCTTCTCGCTTACTGTTTAGGGGATTCTTCTTCACTAATGTTTAGATATTTTACGTGTTCATTTTTAACATTTTAAGCTCTTGGTTTTCTTAATGTAATCTGTCTGCCTTATTTCGGTTGCTCTTGTTGCTTTTCATACTCCTGGGGGGGCTTTGTTGGCTGTGGCCCTCACATTATCATCGTGAACCTAAACTGGTTGGCCCTTAGTTTAAACAAGTAGTGATCAACTGTCTAAACTACGTTGCTCGATCGATAATCAATAGTAATAATAATCATACAATAATATGTTTTAGAGTTTACACAGATTTACACGTTTCGACTAGCGCGGGGTTCGATAGGGGGGCCCTGGGCCGTGGTGCCCAAGGTCGTCGGTTTAAGGTCTAGTTGAGGATTGGAGTGGTTTTTGGTTCTAAGTGGTATTTAAAGAGAGATCGTTTAGGGAGATGGCCAAGCGAGTAAGGGAGATGCTCTGGTTTTTTTATATAATTTTTATTTTATATGATTTTGTTTTTAACCTTCGGCAGTGTTAAAATTTTGCATTTGATATTTCTGAAATAAGTTTTAAATTTGTTAAGATGCGATTGGCTTCTTCTTTACAGATATTTTATTTCAAACACAAAGATATTTTCCATCACTTAACATTTTTGGTATAATATTTCTTTAAACATACAAATTTCTCATAGAAAAAGTAGATCGCATCTTTTATTTTAGTAAACTTATGAAACATAAATTGGGTTTAATATAAACTGACTTCAAATCCCTTTTTTTTTTTTTTTTTTTTTTGGTCCAGAGCATCTCGTTAGCTACAATAAATTGTAAACACATTTCTACGGGGGCCTAGTTGTTGGTGTAGCGTTGGTGTATTACAACACTCTGTTGTAATTGGGATAGACACTCCAAAAATAAAAATGTTACAGCATTTGTATGCGTGAAATTCAGGCCAATTTTCGGATATTTTCTGTCAAGCGCTTTCGTTCTTTTTTTTCTTCTTTTTTTTCAGTGTAGAAAAAGGCGTGCATGAGGGACTCAGGGGGGCAGAATTTAGAGTTTGTTCTCGTATAAAAGTTAGCACAATTAAACTGTTTACTGGTTGAATTGCAATTGCTGTTGCAGTTTGAAAGAATGTTTCCAAAAAAAATGCTCCAATCGCTGGAATTGCATTTTTGTTGAGTTTTTTGAGAGTTGCGTTCGGTTTCTCCTTACTGGTAAACGGAATTATTATGAGTTTTGTAGCTGTTGCTGCTGCTGCTGTAGCGTTGGTGTTGCTGCTGTGATGCCGATGAAGGATGATGATGGTGATGATTTTGGTGTTGGTGGTGGGAGTCGTGATGCTCCCGATGGTGGTGTCCGTGTGGGTGGTGTCCTTGGTGATCGTAGTCGTGTTCGTGTTGGTGCTCCCGCTCGCGTTGTTCCCGGTGCTCCCGCAACTGTTGCTGCCGCTCGCGATGATGTTGCTGCTGCTCGCGTTGTTCGCGTTGTTGATCGCGTTGCTCGTTGCGTTGCTGCAGCTGCTGCTGTCGCGTGGGCGTGTGCTGTTGCTGCTGCTGGGGCTGATCGCGTGTGGGCGTGGCATGTCGCTGATGCTGCTCCCTTGTGGGAGTCGCCTCCCGCGATGCTTTTGTGGGCGTGTTCGTTTTGGTGTTGGTGTTGACCTGTTGCTGCTGCTTGGTCGCAGCGGCTGCTGCTCCCGTTGCTGGTGTTGCTTGTGTGTTGTTGGTGTTGCTGGTGTGTGGCTGCTGCTGCTGCTGCTGCTGCTGATGCTGAGGATGTGGATGCATGTGTGGATGAGGTTGATGATTGCTGAGCGCCGAACTGCCGCCATAGTGGCTGTTAAGGCTGCCCTCATGAGGCAGGGGCAGTGGCGGCGGATTCTTGGCTTTCGTTAGCGGTATTGGTGTTGGCATTGGTTTTGGCGTCTCCGTTAAATCGATGCCCCATTCATAGAGGAACTCCAGCTTCTGGCGTTCCAATGGGTCACTGGCCGGCAGGGCAAGCAAATGTTAGGCTTCTAAAAATATCAGCGCCGTGGGCTTCGGTTCCAAATTTGATTTTTTTGCTTCGACAACTAAGAAGGTTATTTCAGCCTTTTCACGATTAGCAAAGCATTCGGCTATCAGTCGAGCGACCTCCTGTTAAATGAAGTGGTTAATTTAGTTAGTTAATATTTTTAATTTATATGACACATTACCTGATGGTGTAGACCCTCCACCTTGGTTCCATCCACCTCCAGGATCAGTTGCCCGACCTCAAGGCCGCCCGCTTCAAATGCTGCACCATTTTCCTGTTTCAAAATCAAAATAATATTAATTTTGAAGGCCCCACTCTTCTCCTGTTAAGGCATACTCACATGGATATTGATTATCCTAGGGAGCGGGTGTTTTGTATTAGCACCACCTTCGATAGCAATACCTAAAATTGGTTTGGTTTTCTTAACTGTAATGTGTAAGTTGCCTCTATGATCAGGTACGACGTTTGGATTGTGTTCATGTGTTTGTTCAGTCGTTGAACCACCATTCTGCTCCGCTGACAGACGCTGCATGGACTGAAAAAGAGACAATTCGCACTCGTGAAGTCATAAATGGTAAAAACCCAACAGATTTTGCAAACAATTTCCATTTAAATATAGGTTTATTCGTTGTTAACCAAGTCAAGGATCTACTGGTTCGATTCTAGATTAAAGTAAATGCTCAAATTGTGTTTTGGTTTGATCAAAGGTAACTTGGTTCAAGCTGGTAGAGTAGAATTTGTGATTTGGTAAAGTCAAGGCAAGCATATTGAACGTTATGTCGATCAGAAGATCTTGGTAAATAGTTTGTAGTAGTTTGTAGGGCTTTTGTACTTATTTACGTGTATCTGTGTGTGTGGGGCAAACAATAGGAAACGGTTCAAGCTATGGAAAGGTAGGCCAATTCAAATTTGTACATATATATTGCTAGTTCAAAATATTCAATGGCATAATTGCAGTTTATTTTTGAATTAGATACAGAGATATACAGTAGAGAGAGAGAGAGAGTAGAAACTTTGTGTGATTTGTTTGGAATGAGTCATGAAATGTTTGGGGGAGGTGTCCAAATTGTATAAAATTTTGTAAACAACCGACGAAAGTCATATGTGGTAACTGATACTTGATAATTTCGAACCGAAACTCATTATTTCGCATACGCTCTTGGTCATATTACTGAAGTTGTTACTGTTGTTGTTCTGGGCATTCAAGTGCTATTGTATAGTCAGTTATATTGGTAGATATCTGGTAGTTAGTGTGCTTGCACTAGATTTCGAGTAGCACTCACCTGATGCCTTCGTACACCTTTATCGCCCAGCAATGTGCCGCCTTCCTCCTTCATATCGAAACTCCGTGAGAGTTTTGTGGCCAACTCCTATACATTTATATTGTTTCGGTTTTTGATTTACGGTTTTCGAATTTATATATTATGGCCACATTGTGTGTTTTTTTGTTTTTGGCAAAGTTTTTGTTTGTTTTCATTGGATTTTGCATAGTGAGCAAACATTTGATTGGTTTTTTTTGAATGTAAAATGAAAGTAGTAGAAATATTTGCATAAGAATTCGTTGTAGTTGCTTGGTAAGTATTAGAGATTAAAAACGTTGTTCATTTCTTGGTAGTTTGTATTGGTTGCGTGTAGATATATGCTTAGAAAATACTACAAATATAAAAGTCTTGCTTTCAGCCGTTTTTGCGAGTGTCTGCTGTTTGTTTTGGTTCTCGTTCACTTGCAAACATACACAGATAGAGGTTTAATTGAATAAAGTATGACAGTTCACTCTACGGTGGGGTAAGTAGGGTGGTTGGGGTGGTTTTCGGGACGGTGGTTTTTTGGCCAAAGCGTGCTACGGAATAAGAGAGATAGCTGTAGAGATATAGATAGAGAGAGAGACATAGTCGAAGATTGCGTATATCGATTGGCATTCGAAGTGAATTGAACTGAGCTGATTTGCCTCAATCGGAGTCGAGCTTTCATGGTTCATTTTTCATTTTTCGTTTTTCTTTTTGCATTTGATTTTTCGTTACCTTTCAACATATTGGATTATTCGTTGATGTAAGCTCTTGCAGTTGCTTGATTGGCTTGGCAGTGGCTTTTTCGTTTGATACTTTGATACGGCAAATTGTGGCTTATCTCGGGGGAGGAAGCGTTCGAAATGAACTTAAATTGAATATTCGGAAAATTGGTCAGCTACAGGGGGAAAGGGATAAGAGATAGCCTGGAAAACGTATTAATTTGGCATTAATTAACCCTTTGCATGGCTGTTATCATAGAGTAAAATATAAAATAATATAATAATTTAATAGATCTTGTAAATTGTCATTTTTAGAAGAAACTCTTTTCTTTTTATAAAACTTTTTAGTTATAATAGAAAATGTATGTATTTTTAATATCATTTTCAAGAAAGTCATGTTGCCATTCAAAGGGTTAACATTCTGGGAGTTCCCTAACCCATTTAAGACCACTTCCCTTTGTCGTCTGCAACATCACTTTGCTTTTTGAGTTTTTTATTCCTTCAACACTCCATAAATTAGGACCAAAATGGATAGTTCCTCTGTCATTTCACTTTATTCAAGGACCAAGACACCCATTCACCTTCATATTAAGCTCGTATCCTGGACTAAGCTGAGTGTCAGGTGCAAGTTATGAATATGCGAGTGCTTGTGTGCGTAGTATCTGTGGACTTGTCTGTGTGTCTTTCCCTTTTATTTTTCAAGAGGGAGTGTTTTTGGCTTTGAGTTTGTGCATTTTGAAGGCTTTTAAGGCGACTATACAGCAATATACGAACTAGTTATAAAAGCTAATGGCAGATTTGGCAACTAAGACACTTAGATTTCGATAGCTAGACTAGGTCGGACTAGGATTATACTTCCGAATGAAGCGCTAACTAAAACTTCGGGAACTCGAACTTATTTTACAGGATTTACAGGACTAATAGCTGCTAACTACAACTAGGATGTGTGTGTAGGAGTGCGAGTGTGGTTGTGTGTGTGTGTGTGTGTGGGACAGCAGCAGCTAAAATAAGGCCAACATAAATCGGGATTTACACTAATTACAGGGCAAAAGAAAAGATAAATGGAAGAACACTACAAATCGATGTGTGAGAGTGGTGAATCGGTGGGCGGTGAACGGTGGATTGGTGGATTGGTGGATCGGTGGATAATGGCTGGCGGTGAACCAAGACCAATTTGCTCGATATTGTACGAATATAGATATATATTTGGCGTGTGTTTAGAAATCGGGGTGACTCATGCGTAAATGTGCAAATGTATTTTTCAAGCTTTTCTTCATTTCTTGTTTGTTTTTTTGGTTTTTTGTAATTTATTTCGGCTCGTTTGAAGGCTTGACCTTTCGCTTTTAAATGCAAATGTCGACTTTTTCAGTCTCGTGTCTTGTTTAGCTTTTGTTTTAAGATACTTACATCGACAATTACTTTACAGAAAAGAGACTAAGGAAATCTATATGAAACGTTTTTGAGTGCGCCACGATAATTAAATAAAAAGACAACATAAGACAAAGAATGTGATTCAACTGGTGGGGCAAGCAAAGTTCGATTTGGAATGAGAGCACAAAACTAAAACACAATCCTACGAATACAACACAAAATGCTGGAAATGCAACCGAACGAATTTTCAAAATTGATTTAGTTTTTAATTTAATTAAAGACATGGTTGGCGGCTTGCAGTCGTTGCAATGCACATTCAAAACAGTTAAGTTTAGTTGGGTTTAGTTTAAGTTTAGTTAATTTAATTTAAGTTAAGTTAGTTCATACAGAGACAGAGACAGAGTTACAGAGAGATAGAGAGATAAACAGAGAGAGAGAGAGATAGAGCGAGTGAGAGAGTGATAGCAACAATACTAAGTTCAGGCCAAGTTAATGCAACGAGATGCAGATCGAAAGGTCTGTTCCAAAAGAAAAACAAAATGCAGACTGTGAGAACGCTTCGCAGACAATTAAAATTCCACTCAAGTTGCGAACACAATTTCTATGCTGTGGTTGCTGGTGTCGTTTACATTATTAGTTAGGTATTTTGTTTGTTTGTTTCGTTTATCGCTTAACGCTTAACGTTTAACGAAAAATACATTGGCACTTACTAGAGGTCGTCCCCAATACCATGATTTGACACGTTGTGTTAAACCACCCAAATGTGAACGCAGTCCATCTAAGTAGCCGCCCTGAAATGCACACAAATGAACAAACGAGAACAATTTCGGGGAGTACGAGGCACGGAGCGGGGTATCCAACTCAAAATCAGGACTCTATATGGATCTGGATGGAACAACTAAAGTGGTGCTCTGGTGGTGGGGTGGTGATATGCCAAGTGAAATGAGAGACTCGAGTGAAAATCAGGGGTTAAATCAGAGTGTGTTTTCTATTTTCTTGGGTTAAAAGGAGAAGATAATGGAAAGAAAGAAAGAAATAAGGGGAAATCTTTGTGGGTCTTTGTGGGGTTCCTAAGTTTGTATTAATTTATATTGATAACTAGTCAAGCTACGATTACTGGATATATATTTCGATACTCGATTACAGGTTTTCAAGAGAATTACTTTTACTTAGATTGACTAGAAAGAACTATTGCATAATGAGAGTTCAAACTATATCTCTAAGGTCTTCCAATATGGGTTCTTTGATGAATCTATTTTTAACTGTTTTTGATTTCTAAGGTATTAAAACAAAAGAGTTAATGGATATATTTTAAAGTGTCAAGGGCTATCCCACTCTAGAATATATAAAAGGATTTTATTTTAAATATTAGCCACTAGAATATAATCAATGTACGATATATTTGGCTCGATAACTAATGGTTTATAAGATTACAGTTGATATTTTAGCTCATAAATCTAAATTTGTGTTATTATTGTAATTTTTAGAGTGTCACAACCCTTTAAACTATTTTATTATATATATTTCAATGGCTAATAAGGTAAATATTTGGTGGAAATAATTTTTATATAAATGACAATTATTAATCCAGGGGCCTAAGTGTCAACTGTGAATTTCAAATAATTATTTAAGCCATAACTAACCAATTTTAAATATTTTCCTCAACTACTAAGCTTGGCAACAAATGTTGCTGGACCTAAAATGTTGCTAGCAACACCAGAATGTTGCCATTGGCTAGATCCCACTTTTTAAAGCATACTTTTCGTCTTCAATTGGAAATACGTTAACGCTGCAGTGACTAATCCCGGATTTTAAGCTACTATTTGCCTGCAAGTACGTAAGCGCGCTCGCTGGCTAATTAGTCTTGGTTATGTCAAAACTTTGTTCGGTAATCTTCTTCTCGAAAGCTCCGCTCTGCAGGCGCACGTAACACGCCCACGTACCCGCCGCCCCCCAAAAAATTATGCACACGAATCGCCGGCGGGCGAAATAAGTTAGAGCAAGGCGGCTTAAAACGAGTAGCGGGCTAAATATTTACAAGACTCTGGATTTTTGTGGGTTTTTCTCTGGTTACGATTGCTTCCTTATTGGTCTTTTCCTTTGTTATGTGTGTTTCAGGGTGTGTGTGTGTTTCATGTTTATGTGTTTTATTCGTGGGCGTGTATGTCTGTGTGTGTGTGTGTTTGTGTCGAAAAGATAGTTTCGAAAAAGTGCTTAAAGTGTAACAAACGGCGAATGCGGCGAACATTGAGCTTACCTGTTCCTGTTTCCAATTAATGCGATTCCGATCCGTTGCGCATACGCCGCGTGTGACGATGGAAGAGAGTGAGAGAGAGACAGGGAGAGAGAGGGAAATCCGAAGAAGAGGGAAAATTAATTATTGCAGCTCAGGAACACCAACAACAACACTATACTAATGAGCATCATCTCTTTTCAATGCCAAATGCAAACGCCTTTCTGGCCATCAACTCCCGCCTTATTCGGTCGGCGGAAAAACAACAAATTTTCTGTTTACGTCATGCCCGAGCAAAACAAAAAACCAAAGTGAAAAAAGAGAAAAACTAAATGCAAGAAAAAACGAAGCGAAGAAAAAAAATAGAGGCAACACAAAAACAAAAACCGCGGCCGCACAGCTGCAGTCGCCCGTTGTCAGCTGCAGTTACCACCGCAGTATCCCACAGATACATTTTATTTATTTGTCACTCCAGTTTGACCATTGCGTAAATCCAGCACTTACTGACTTACAACACATATTTATGTGTGCATTTGCACCCCGTAAATCTCTGCGATATAATTGCAGTATAATTTTTAGACATAAATATTGACAATCTTTGTTTATCAAATCGCTCGCCATTGTTTCTGTCGTCGCTGTGGGTAATTTTTTACATTACTAGGCCATAAAAAGTAACTGGGGGAAACAGCGTTCGTTCAGTGGCAAAAACGTCAAAGAAAGCAAAACCCAAAGTAACAAACAAGAAAAGGCCCAAGATGATGTGTGTGTGTTTCGGAGAGAGTCAACTAAGAAATGCTCTTTAGCAATTTTTAATTTATAATACATCTCTTTATGCCATAATACTATATTCTGTTCATTAATTCCTTCTATTCGTTTTCAAATTAAAACTAAGAGTTTTTAAAATAAGAAGAAATAGTTATATACAACTAGAAATAAATTTGTGATTAAGTGCTTAAAGGAATTCGTTTTTAAATGGTAATAAAATGTATTATATTTTGAACTTCATTCTAATTATAAGCCTTAGTGTATTAAAAATGTAAAATATATTTTTATATACACTTGAGACTATTTTTAACTCGAATATAGTCTGAAATCTGAGATCTTATTTAGGAAAATATATTAATGAAAGTTTTTTCAACCTATATTCCTATATTTCCAACCTATATTCCTATTTTCAATGCCTGTCAATATATTTTTTTGTTTTCTTTATAGAGTTATGTTGATCTTAGATACTTTTCTGAACTTATCTTCAAAGTTCTGGGTCATCTCTTTCGAGGAATTACCCCAAAAAATTTCCACTTATTGAAGATCGATAGATGTGGTAATCCAAGGTTTCTGTCTTTTGTTTCCTTGCTGGCAAACTCTTCGCCGACTGCCCACAGCTCTGGCCAACAAAGAGTAGCTCCGGCTGCTGCTGCTTTTGCGGCTGGCTGGCTTTTGGCCAAAGCCGCGGCGGCGGCGGCAGCAACCAAAGCGGCAACATGAGCAACTACAATTGTGGATTGGACTCGAGCAGAGCTCAGCTGCCTTCAGCCAAGTCTGCAGTTTCAGTCGCGCGTCGTCGCTTCAAGCGTGAGGTTCAGAAACGTAAACAGCAGTCAGCTGAAGTCGGAGGAGTACTGGAAGACCACCACCACCACCACTACCACTTTTCAGAGCCAACGAACATCAGCCAAAAGTGCGTATTACCAGGTCCCAAATTGGCCGAGAAACAAGTTGCTTGAAGTGGTGGAGTTGACAAATCTCGCGTTTCGTTACATTTCGCGCTCTGTTTGCTGGCAAATCGTTGCATAAATTCAAAATAATAATAATAAGCCAGCAGAAGTTTTGGTACTGCCACTGGTACTCTTCTCTTCTCTGGCGGTTATATCATCGCGCTCTGTTTTTTTGGAGGGGTCGGTCGCTCTTTGGCAACACAAAAATCACAAATTGCGGCAGACAACAACTTTATTGCCTTGCTTTTTGCATTCAATTAACTTCTATTTCTCACCTTTTTTGGCCGGGCTAATTTCCTTTGTTTTTGGTTTGTTATTTGTTTCTCTTCTCTTGTTTTTTGTTTTTAATTACCAAACTGGAGTCGGGCTTCAGACGGTTTCAGTTGATTTGTTGTTGTCTCTCCCCTTCTGCACTTAAGCTGCTGACGGATTCTAAGTGGTAAGACTGCGAAATACCCGTAGTTGCTAAACATTTCGACCCAGAAAAAAAAAAACACATTGGCTGTCGGCGACAGGGAAAGCCAACGCGAAAGGTTCGGAAGAAATGGGCATAAACAAGAGAACGAGCGAAATGCTTTTAATGGCTTTTGGACAGGCCTTTACGAATGTCTCTCCCTGTCTCTGGAGCCCAAGGGCTAACCGAAAAGTAATTGCTATTGGAAATGGCATAAATAAGAATTCTCCTTAATGGAGATTGCTCCGGTAACGCATGGCTTGGACCGATAATTCATACAAATTGGTTCCAATTTACCAATCTCTTTAGGGCCAACTCTTCTGACCCACATCTCAAAGTCTAGAGCGATCGCGAGATTTGATAAATTATTCTCGGGCAGCAGCGGATGAGCAGTCGGTCAGCTGTCAGAGCTGCTTTTAGGTCAATGAGCTAGCCCCAGAATGGGATTTCTGTTTTTCTTTATATACACAGAATTGTGGACAAAATTATTCATAGCCACAACAATAGTGTGAATTAAGTGCTTACCTTTTGTTTAACTTTGAAAAAGTTTAAACAAAACCAAAAATGAGTAAGGTTCGGGGCTGGGACAGCCAGAGAGAAATTTCACCAGAACCAAAGGAGCAAGTTCAGCTCCCGGAAAACCGGGAGACACAACAACTTTCACACCAGAAAGAGACAGGGAAAGAGAAAGAGAATTTTCCAAACAATAATGAAAACTTTCAGTCAATTGTCTGCTGTGCCAGCCCATTTAACTGTATTTTGTGCGTAAGGCACACATCATTTTCCAACGATTTTTCTTTCAAATTGTCCAATCATTTATGTTGGTTTTTTTTTGCGTCTCTCGGTAAGCTGCTCAGGGCAACCATTTCAAAATCAATCAAATTTATGACTTTGCAAACTTTAGCAGCCAAGTTTTGATGTCGACGCGCTGCTGTTGATGATGTTTATTATTTTTGTTGTATTTTTTTTTTATCTGTTAGCCGCAGCTCTAGTCGTAGTCGTAGCTGAATTTTTGTAACTCGAATCGAAAAGCTGACAATCATCATTCAAAGCACATGCCATTGACCTCGTTGCGCAGTCGGAGTCTGGGCGCTTGGGGGGGCTTTTAACGGGGAATCGGGGGCATCTCTTTGTCATTAGATACCCATGCGAGTGGGAGGCGATAGAGGGGGACAGAGTTCACGATTGGTTCACCGCATCGATGGGGTTGCCACAACATGGTTTTTTAATCCCAAAAGCTGGATTTTATTAATGCCTTTTCAAGGCCAAACTCATTAATGTTTGGAAATTCAAATCGAATTGAGGTTTGTCAACTGAATTGAGGGCCAAAAAAAGTAGCCTAAGGTGTGCAATTTCTAAATCATAATGGATTCAACTCTTGCAAATCAATCTTAATTTGATTGACTTGAAATAAATAGCTGAAACTTCCAGTATTTAAAACTGTCATAAGATGAAAGGCTTTTAATAATATAAGTAAAATGTTAGTAGTTCTAGAAAAATAAATATAAAAAAAATCTTAAACCAACCTGTGGGTATCTTATAAAATTTCCTAGATATTAAGGTAGATTTTCGCTTAAAGCGAGAAGATACCCCCTGTTGGGGCAATCCCCTGGAGTCTTGCCAAAAAGGTAACATAATTACCTAAACCTATACTCCCTATCCCCCCTAGAGTGGAGCCCAGTCGGGCATAATTAATAATGTCAAAAGATGACAAGCTGTCCGGATTGCTAACACGGCCTAATGGATGGACGTGAAAGAGTTCGTCATAACGGTTAATCAGCATTCAAGAATTAGCACCTCGTCGGCGCACTCCCCTCGCCTCAATTAAGGTTCTCATTATGATGATGGACGGACGAGAAGTGTTTTCTATTGACAGACATGTCTTCTTCAATCTCAAGTCTTCCAACTGGGCTCATAAATATATATTTTACACCCATTGAATTTGTAGACCGGATTTTGGGGGCTCTTGCTGGTTCTTGCTACGCATCCAAATGGTTTATTTACATTACAAACAACTTGTTCTCCAGCCGTCTCCCTCTCGCTGCAACAATTTACTTTCCATTTAAGTCTTTGCTCTTGACAAAGTTTTGTACCTTATTTAGTACATTTCTCTAATGACCCACTTTGAGTTTTGGTCTTGGCTATTGCTCTCTCGATTTCTATCCCCCTTCGCGTCTCGGTAATTTCGAGAGAAAAAAGTGAGTGTCCCCGTAAGCCAGACAAGCGACATCCAGCAAAAAAGTTGTTTGTCAGTTTTGGTTGAAATCAAACTGGTTACTCAGCTGCCGGCGCGGTCTGGGCCCCAGTCCATCGTCCATCGTGCACAGTCCAAAATAATTGAAGGTTTTAAGTGTCAATTGAAGTTCTTAAAGTGTTGAAGAGATTAGGAAGTCACTTAAAATAATACATTTTGAAGCTTTAAACAGGTGCTTGTTTCTATTCGTGTTGATCAAAATTAACGATTAATTCTTTAAAAATGAAACCCTTGGAAAACCTAGCTCTCAACCATTTCAAAAGCTGTTTTCATTTAACCAGAATTTCCTTACACTTAATTTAATTTATAAAATCAATTCAAATTTATTTTCTTCTGTGCTTGGTACATCGGTCAAGTCAAGTCAAGCCGGCCCAAATGGTGTCAGCTGTGTAAACAGGGCTAAGCAAGCGGATCGCAAGCCGTTTAGCTTCTCGAATAATTTCCCCCATTCCCAGTGCAACCCAAGTCCAAATCAATTTCGTGCGAACTAAATGAAAATCCTGCCCTGAACTTGACTGCTGCCTGCATGTGATACGGTCGAACGCCTTTTGCGGAAATTATTGCAATTTTCTTGTCTTCTAGCCAAGCACACACACACACACAGTCTTGGGGTTTTGGCGGTGAATTTACTTTCACTTTTGCTGCACTTACTCAACAAGTTGTGTGGAGCAGAGTCCGAGGAAGTTTTTGCTCATCAAAAATAAAGAATAAACTGCTCGAGTTTTCGCACTAAATAAAGCAAGAACTTAAGTGAAGTTGGCTGTATATTAAAATGGATGTTCTAAGAGAAAATAGAGTTTTCTTTTTAATTATGACTCAGCAAACTATGAGCTTGATTAAATAATAGGTTATTAAGTTTTATAGATTTTTAAAATAAAAATTCAAGGGTTTCCCTCTTTAATTTAAGCTTGAAATTTGAACTCTTTACCCTCAATTGGTGTGAAAGGGTTTACACCCACAGCCATCCCTCTTGTTTACCCTTTCTATTTACCTTGCCTGACTTTTTCAACCGAGTGCAATGGCAAACTCGCGAACAAAGTCCACTCCACACTGATTGCAACTTGGCCAAAGAACAACAAATCATTTAAACAAATCAAACATCAACAGGCGACTGACGACCGGCAGCATGGAGACCTATTTGACGGAGATCAAACAATTGCGCATACCACGCCCGAAATTCGAGCCCAACAGTTGCCACCAGCAGCACCAACATGCGGTGGCAGCCACTGTGGCGACCGTGTCCTCGTCCTCGGCCACGCCCACCCAGCCACCTCCACCCCTGCACCATCGACAGTGGCGCCACTTTGTGCGCCCCTTTACGCCGCCCCGCGACTACCACCTGCCCATGGTGGCTGAGGGCTCGCTGCACGACAAGATGTGAGGCGGACCTGGCTATATGTATACCCCATACTTGATACCTTAACCCCACATAAGATAGTGCTTAAGTCTAGTGTTAGCTTAGTTGTCGTACTAATATATAGAACAGATACAGTTACAGATACAAAGAATAAACAATAGACAAACCGAGTGGAGTTTTCAATGGAGGTTATGGATCGTAATATTGTATTATTAAATAGTAAGGAATATGTGTTGTATATATATATAGTGCTGATCATGAAATGGTACTTTATGGAATGAACAAATGAGTGTTTTTATTAGTGTATTAAAAATTTTAGCAAAGCTAGTTCCTAAAAAAGTTATGTTATATAGGAAATTATGATTAATGCTGAACCTGAAGGGGTTTACTTTATAAACTCCAAAATGTAAACATACTTTTCCTGTTTATGTATTTAATTTATCCAAAATTTATACACTTTTACATCCTATATTCTTCCCAAAGGATCCCTATAACAATATTTCGTTCACGTTCAGTTCGTGATCACTTACTCACCGCATCTTGATCGTATTCCGGTAAAAGGGTTTCGCTGCCCCGGCGAGTTCTGTGCTCATCACAGCCGTATTCCTAAGCCGGGATGAAAGAATTTACAGAATATATATTGTTCAGCGTTTCGAATGCTCCTCGGCTGGCAACCAATTCAGTTTGGCGCTGCGCTTAATTCGACTTAACGGTATTACAACACTCAATGCCAATTGGACAACATTTATAAAAAAGGAAGTACAACATAACCGGAAACAGAGACGAGACAAGAAAACGTAAACTGAAACCACATGGAGAGCAGGTTGGACAAAAAAAAAAATGCAAACATATAAACACGACAATTGACGGCACACACACGAAACGAAAGACAAAGATACAAAAAGTAGTTCGAGATACAGATAGATAGATACAAAGAGAGACGGAGAGACTAAGGCACTAAAGATACAAAATGAAATAAAACAGATACCACAGACAGACAAGAGATCTGAGAATCTCAAATCGTGAAGGTACTACATCCGAATGTCAATTTTTTCTTGCTTCATTTCTTATATTTTTTAAGAGATTTAGAGAAGTCCATATGTTACGTAAAATTTGTTACTAATTAAAATAAATAATATAATATATGGACTTCCCCACATTTAGAAATAATCCAGTAATTAATTTAGAGCTTCATAAAATTCATCTAAAAAGTAAATTAAAAGTTAAGAAAGCCCACAGAAACATTAAGGAAAGTTTGATTAATTTTGCTGAGAACACGTTCTACGTATATCTTAGAAGTCCTTTATCGGAAAAATCCTCAAATTAGGAGAAATATCTAAATAGATCAGCTTCAGGAAAAGTGTGATAGTAGGTAAGGTAAGTCTTTCATTATTGCTACACTCTTCGCCCGACTCGCTTCGGTCCTGACCTGTTGCACATTGTCTTGGGCCTGCTTGAACCTCAATTGACTTGGTCCCGACTGATGGCGGTGATGATGACGCCCTGTTATAGATACCGATCCCGATCCAGCGCCGCCCAGATGACGCAATGAGGCATGATGCTGTCGCTGATGTTGCTGATATTGTGGCTGCTGTTGTTGGGGTGGCGATAATGATGATGAGGACTGGTTGCTGCCTGCCTGATAATGGGATGCCGAAGCCGATGCTGGATGTGAGCGATGCAGTATGGGTCCCGCCGACATGGGCCGATGGGGCAACTGGAGTGCGGGTCTATCGTACACACACACACACATATTTTTTATAGAGGGGTAACTTGCGTTTTACTCAGAACCAAAATCGCCATTACTCTGAAATTTTTTTTAAATACAGACCTTTCGGTTCTAAAATTTTTGAAGTCTTTCTCTAAGATTCCCGATCTTAGAAATAACATAAATATAAAAGCGATTTTGGTTCTGATTGCGTTTACGGGAAGAGTATGGAAGACAAGGATATGGATAAGGATAAGGCTACGGCTATGATTACGGATATGGATGTGGGATATGGGTTCTTGGTAGATTCTTCTAGGCTAAGTACCGCTTGTGGATATCCGTTACGGTCATGCCCAGGCCCGAATCCGACGAGGGACTCCGTCCGGTGGCGGCTAATATTTCCAAATCGTCGGATGTCACCTGTTGGGGAACGGAACGGAACGGAATGGTACGGAATGGAACGATACGAAAACGAAACGAGCGATTTGGGTTTTGCATACGATTCAGAGAGCGAGTGAGAGACAGTGACAGTGGGTGAGAGTGAGGTGGGATATCTGATCCAGGCTTAAGTAGATCACTACTTAGCACAGACAGAGACAGCGACAGCGAGAGAGAAAGAGACAGAGAGATAGGCTGAAGAGCGAGACAGAGATAGTGTTTGGGGTTCTGGTGCATTCGTACTTTCGATTGATATTTATATTGAATGGTTTCTATATGCATATATCGGTGCTAGTTCTTGGTGACTGTTCTTAGTTTCTTGGTTATCCTTTTAGGGTGCACTGTTCGGTGTGGGATTACATAGTTTCGATTCGTTATGGTACAGTAATTTTGCTTATATCTAAAACTAGAGCTAAAGATAACTAAGCTGAGCTAAGATATAACTTCAAATTGAATTTATCCTGGTTTATTTACATAGACAGTTGACAAGTCTTTTGGGGTCAACTGTACCGTCCCAAAGTTTCGATGTTGGTTTCGAATTTGTTTCGTTTTCAGCTTAATTTAGAATGTCCACAGAGACCTTTATTTACCTGGTTCTTACTGCTAAAAAATTGTGTTAAACTCTTGCCACTACAATGTAACTAAAGCTATAGGAGTGTGTGTGTGTCTGTTGTTGATTTTGGAAAAATTGACATTCGATTTGTTGTTTCTGTTTCGAGTTGTTTGCCATTTAAGTTGCCAAGGTCCGAATCGAAAGTAAGCGAGTTTCCGAAAGCTTTCTCAGCAGAGAAATAGGAAAATAACATGCAAGTTTATTGGGAAATGAAAGAAGCTCTAACTGGTTTCAAGTTGGGTGGCTAAAGAAAAACATCAAGTGTGTTGTTGACTCGTTCATCAATTAAACTACAAGTTTTGTTTTGATTTTCTTTTCTTAGTTTTTCTTTTTATGTCGAGTGTTATTTGTATTTTGACTACAGTTGAAACAGATAAATTAAAGTAAAAGTTACAAACATACAGTGACAACAACAATTATCAACGACAACAGCGAGAAGAGAAAGATATACTAAACAATAAACACGTTATAGGCGAGTATATAGTTCGTTATAGACTTTATAGGATAGTAGTAGAGACAGTAGATAGACCGCAGACAGTAGTTAAGTTACAGTTACATGCTCAGTGTGAGGCTAGAGAAGTGTCTCTCTCTTAACTAAGTGTATATAGTGTCTGTGTCGTAGAATAAATCTTCTAAAAAGCTTACCGGCAAATCACGTGCGGGGTCTCCCTTACGCTGCAAGAGATAAAGGGGATTTACATGGATATGGAACTGTGCAAGGGAGTAGTCCTCGCCCTGCTTACCCTGTGCCTGTCTACGCTGTAAGGATCGCGCTCCCTGCGATAGACCAGCTCGTCGTATCGCGTGCGATCCTCGGGGAACACCAGTTCCCGTATCTCCGTCACTAGCGTGTGCTGAAATAGAAGAAAAACTTGTAGCTCTTAAGATATATATTCGTATATTCACCCTCACCTTCTCGTACGTATCTAACATCTCTAATAAGACGGCAACAAAGGCATCTATGGTCATTGCTTTCGCACTATATTCAGCGATATAGTAGGAAAGGCTTGCAAAGTGATGACGGGGCAGCAGAGAGCGCGCCTTCTCCTCCACCATGGTGGCAATTTGACCTTTTCGGCGTGCTCTGTGTGGGTTCACTAGGGTTAAGTGATATTCCAAGGATTATTGGTCAAAGGGTAACCCACCTTGTGCCCGTTGGACTGTAGGCATCCCAGGGCTCCATCTCGATGGAGGTGCAGGAGTGCGGCACCTTGCCCACATCACGGATCACCAGCGACATGCGCTTGTGGTACTTCAGCTGACCCACCGCCTCGTCGTGCGTGACGTCGAGGAAGGACTGACCATTGACCTCCAGAATCTCATCGCCGATCATCAGACCCGCACGGTCAGCCACGCTGTCCTTGTCCACGCCCGTGACGAAGATACCCAGGCCGTACTCCACGCCGCCGCGTATCATCAGGCCCAGGGACTGGCCCGGCTCGATCAGCAGCTCCACGCGCCGTATCCTAAAGTCACGAAGAGGTAAATGTTAGTTGGGAACTTGAAATACATCCTCCTCTATTACTCACCGATCCCTTCGCTCGCTGCGCCTGCCCCCGTACTCCATGGGCGGTGAGGCGGGTCTGCCATGCCGATCCATCCAGGAGCAGGTCTGGCGAAAGGGCAGACCCGCTCCGGAGGCCGCCGCCGCCGCCGCTGCCGCTGCTGCCTGATTCTGCGGATGGAGCGGGGGAGCCATTGAGGCGTACATGGGGTCGCGGGAGGGCGGACCGAAGCCGTGGAGCGGGGCGGCCGAGTTGAGCGTGGGCGGCGCGCGGACCGTCATACTGATTTGACGTGACGATTTCAATATCTGCACACATCTCTGCGTTAAGAAAAAATGTGGCAATAGAAGAGACACAAAGAGAGAACAGATGCGAGCAAAACGGAACGAACCAACAAGAAGAACGGAGAGAAATAGAGAGAGAGAAAGAGGGGGAAGAGGAGCCAAAAGTACCAAGAAAAGAAATGAAGGGGAAAGTGAACCAAATGAAATGATATTCGGTAGTAATTGCCGACCAAAATAATAAAAAAAAAAACTTGTACGTAAAGTGGTTGCCAAATTGTTCCCAAAAAATTATTAATTAACTTTAATTGTGGGCGTGTCCGCTGTTCCGTCCGCCGCCGGTCTTTTGTGCGGTTGCGTTTGCTGTCAGTGTGTTTGTGTCGGTGTCTGTGTTGGCCACATTTTGCTGTCATTATTTTAATTGTTTCTGACCAAAAAACTAATGTGAGAATGTGCGCAAAATTGTGTGGGTCCAAGGACTGGGGCGGCAGGTGGCAGGTGCGGGCGGGTGCTGCGTGCAAATTGGTCTGCGAATCCCCCCAGGTGTCGTGTCGTCCTCTCCGCTTCCAGAGCCTTAGTTTTTTGGTCTGTGGTTGGGCTTTAACCCAAAATGCACATATTCCTGTCGATTAGAGTGCCGTGTGGAGTAAGCCATTGTGGTTTTATATTTTGCCTTTCAGCTTGGAAGTCCTTTTACACTTAGGGTCCTTTAAGGTGTCAGTTCAACTTAAGCTACCAACTTAAATAAATCGAAACAAATCGAAATAATAAGCAATAACCAAGGATATGCGGATACAAAATGCGACTAGTCTATTGCCAATTTTTTCTCAGTGTATATTTGTATTAGTGTATTATTGAATTCATTTTCATGTATGTTTCGTATTTGGTTTAGTAATATTCATACATAACTGTATCAAGTGCATAGAGATTTATATACTCGTATATAAATAGGAAACAACTACGAAAAATCGCTCAGAGCAGGCGGCAATCGATTTAGGGGATATATATCTATATATTTGTGCATTTGTGCTCATATGATAGGGCTGTGTGTGTGTGTGTGTTCCCAAACAAGTTCTGTCCAAAATGGTTAAAGTTTAAATTGGCAGAAAGCGTGAGAAATGGCACACCATGTGCCAGGCTCCGACCATCCCTAAGCCTCGTCTTTTGCCAAGTAATATGCATGGCCAGGAATTATATTGACTATCATAACGTGTCACATAAAATATTCCACAATAAATTGACTTTCGTTGTTAGAGGCAGCTGCCAGTGCTACTGCCACTGGAGGGAGGAAGAGAAATCCTTTTCTTTCGGTTACTCTGTCAAGTGTCGCCCATAAAAGGCGATGTGGCCTACTGAATGCCTTCGTTGTACCATATATATATATATATATATATGTGTTAGTATATATAAACATATCGGCTTGGGCGCATATACATATGCTTGATGGATAGAACCCCATTATGGGCAACTATTAAGGACCAGCGATTGACAAACTGAAGCTGCCGATACACCCAAGACAGCTCGGCTAGAAAATCACATTAAAAATCAATAAAGTGTACAATAAAATTAGATATTTTTTGATGGAAGAAAAAGAAATTTGACATGGCTGTCAGGGTTGAAGGAAAAACATTTAGACCAAGAGGGTGAGAAACCTAGAGAAAAGGTCTCAGATGTGGGGATTCGATAAGGTTTCCCAAAGGATTTTCTAGCATTTTAAGTTTTATTTATTGGAAGTTTTATCAGAAATTTTTTTACATATGTCTTTTGTTTTAGTTAAACTTTACTCTTAAACCTTTAAAAAATATATAATCTAATTAGGAATGACTCTTTTATTTCCTACTAAATATTAGTTACAATTTCTCATACAAAAACTACTCCTTTCCTTGATTAAATATTTAAAGTCTCCCCTAAATAAAAGTCTCTTATAACTTAACCCAAAATAAACAACGTGAAGGATGTTATTCCAGCTAAATGACTGACAGCCATTCAGCCGAAAAAGGGACGATTAAAAGTGTCAATCAATATTAATTTGCAATATAAATATATCTTTGGGAACAACACACTGGCTGCCTGCCTCCCACGAAATCGCTGCATGCTCTGATCGATTTCTGTCTAAGTATAGATAACATTAGCTACTACAAAGTACATATTTAATAAAGATATATAAAAAGAGATTTAAATTGCGAAAGAGATGCTCACCTTCAGCGCCTCCTCGTGATTGATTGAGGTGAAGGGGGTGCCGTTCACCTCTAGGATTGTATCACCGGGTCGCAATCCGGCGCGCTCGGCCACCGAATTCTCCTCGATGCGTGAGATGTAGACGCCTAAGCCTGCAAAGAGGGATGAATCAATTAGCAGCCAGCTCACACATTCAATTTTTAATAAAAGTAGTCCCCCCACTTTCCCCGTAGACCCCATTTCCCTGCTCTTGGGCCTCTTTTTTTCGATGTTTTTTTCATTAAGACCCAGCCAGTAGGCAAAGGATGGAGTGCGGCAGCCATTTTATGTTTAATTTATAAAGCACGTGAGTGTGAGTGTGTGTGTGAGTGTGCACAATGGCGTTGAAGAACAAAACGAGCAGAGAGGTAGGGGTAGGGAAAAGGGGAACCCAAGTAGAGAAAGCCTGCATACGGGGGCAACTTAAATAGATTTTTATCGATTTTAAAGCCGTCCGCATATTGCAAACTAAAAATAAATTCTACGGCAGGAAATGGGAATGAAGAAAAGGTAACACACAGAGAGGAGGGCGATTGGGGGGCAGAGGAAGGAAGAGCTGGTTAGCCAAAAAGGTAGTCAGGTGCAAAATGCACTTGGAAATGTCAAAGCTGCTGGCGGTTTGTCACACACCAACATGCACACACGCCAATACACGGGGAATACACGTGGCTACACGGATGGTCTACGGACGGATGGACACAGGGAAGGGAGAGAGAGTACCTACCCGGACAATAAAATGAAATAGAAAACTAAATTGCACGTAAGAGCCTCCCGGAGAAACCAAGAAGAGTCATCAGCCAAAACCGACTGGGCGTGACATGGGATCAAGCGGCAAAGGGGGCGCGGTCCACGACAGATTGAAATGGGTGGAAGGGGAACGGGGTAACGAGGTGGTGTGCTCAGGTATTTTTTAGCTGCCAAATAGGGTGAAGCCAACCCTTGGTTACTATATTATTCTCCCCTTATGTTGCACTCCAAGTAGTAATTGCATTCTTTAGCTACAAAAGCTGCAGTTAAAGTAATACTGTCTGTAAACTGTTAAATTATTAAGTTAAGTGTTTAATCTGGAGTCTGTTGAACTCTTTTAAATTTTTAATATTTAGTTTAATTTTTAGGCAGTAAATAAGAAGGAATCTATCTAATTTCTCTAGACACCTGTCCAACCTCAACACTTACCTGAGTCTTTGCCTCCTTTGACGCAGATGCCGAAACCATGATCGATTTGCTGGTCGCGCGACATGGACACGGTTCGCGTCGTAAGTTCGTGGATGTTTGGGACACTGCGATCCCTTTCCCGCTCCCGATCCCGATAGATCTGAAAACAAAATTAAATAAAATAAATATCATATTTATTTCAATACCTATTTAGATCTTTTCTCACCTGGTGGGTGGTGGAGGGCGGACTGCTGGCCGGGCTCCGTCTCCCAGTGCGATCCCGATCCCGCGTGCCGCCGTTGCTGAAGTGATAGCTACTCGTAGGAACTGATGACGACTGCGTGGCGCCGAACATGCGCAACACCTGCTCCGGTGAGATGGGTCGCTTCTTATTCCCATTGCTGCTCGAGTGCTGCTGACCGCCCATGGAGCGACCACTGGCCGCCGTCGAGGTGGGCAGGGTGCCCGCCGTTCCGGCCGCCATGTGACTGGCGGGTGAGGAGCTAAGATAGGCACTGCCACGACCTGGCAGCGAACCGCCCTTGGTGGGCACGCCCGCCGAGTTGAAGTAGTAGTGCGGCGAGTGGGGGCGCTCGATGATCGTGTATGAGGTGCCTGGCGGCGAGTAGTATAATCCGCTCCTTCCGCCAGCACCGCGCAGCGAGCTCGTGCTGTTGCCAACACGGGAACCACCGGCCGCTGCTGCTGCTGCTGCTGCCGCCGCTGCTGAGGATCCCATGTAGGGTCCGCTGCCCGGCGGCGGACTGATCATGCCGAAGGCCAAGCCAATGTCCTCCGCCTCGAAGCTGCTCGGCACCGCTCGGTGGTGCGAGATAAGGCCACCCGATCCGCCCGTGGGCACGCTCGAGGACGATTGTGTGGCTCCCAATGTGGGACCGAGGCCCAAACCGGCGGCATTCGAATGGTATCCGTAGGGTCGAGCACTCCAGCGCGAGGGTCCAAGATCACAGAGTTCGGCATAGTCGTTGCCAGCTGCGCTCATTGTCAGGGGGTCGCCGTCGTATGGAATGCCACTGCCCCCAAGGCGCATTACACTGCTGGAGCTGGAGGAGATAAAGGATTGGATTAATGGATTATTTTTAAAAAAGGTACAACATTTAATAGCTACGGATTCACTACCAGTTCGAATGTCTTATAATTTCAGAGATTACCACAGTGTTCCTTAAGCCACTTATGGCAAGCAGAGATTCCCCGTAATGCCAGAGCGGCCTTATCCACATTCCTCAATGGTCTGCGATCAACCCCAAGCCCAACCTGCAGGAGCAAGAGCAACCCATCCGGAATTGGGTGAAAACACCCGCCCAGCCCGCAATCCCCCGGAACAACTTTTGTTTGCGTACGCAGCCCGCTAAGCCGCAGCTCAGACTGAGCGCCACATTCGGTGCAAACAATGGCTTAATCTCCAGAGTCATATGGTGTGCTCCTCCATCTACCCCCTCAACCCAGTGAAAACACACAAATATACACACCACACACACACACATACACAAACATTCATCTGCACACACTGCGAAATCAATGGGAACTTATGCCCCGTGCTTCATTATTTATGTGCCAACTTTGGTTGGCAAAACAAAAACAGGTTAACACAAAGGCAGAAGCTCTTCCCTGTGCCACGTCCTCCTCATCCCCATTTCCATTGCCATTCTCCTGGGGGTAGTTCCCTAGTCCAAACCCCACCCCGCCTGGAACGAGAGAGGAGGGAAGGGGGCTGCTCTCATAAATAGTTGAAAATTGCCGTGCTCACACATTGGCACTCACTTAGCCATGGCCCTGGCACGCCGCGCTCCGTGCACATGAGAGCCATTCAACGCCACTGGCCAGAAAGTATTTGCAATTTTCCCTCTTTCCCCCTCCCTCTCTCCCGGATGAAACCCAAAATGAAGCTAAACACATATGCATTTATCGATCAATTGATGGCGATGGCTAATCAATGACACTGACTGCAGAGCATATTTACAGCCAAAATAATTTGCACTTTCTGTGGTTTAAAAACATAATCAGAAACCGGAAATGAATACCCCAACACGCAGCATATTGAGCTTAGCGTTATGGGCACGTCACGTTTATCAGTCATCAAAGATATATTGTTCTTTTAACAAAGTTTTTGGGTCTGTATATCAAATGGTGGTTTGCTTTGACATCAAATGAAGTGTAAAGCGATATATGGCAAGACTTGGGCAAGACCAATAAAACGTGATTATTAGAATTATTATTTTAATATTTTACACCTTAAGAACCCCTGAAATGATGGCATTTTTTAAATCGATATTTATAGATATTGTAAATTATTAGTTTTTGGACAAATCAAAGCTTAAGACACCACCATAAAGCCAAAATGGCATTAATAGAAAATCCCCTTACTTAATTTAATACTCGCCTTTTTTTAAATCGATATTTTTATATAATTTTTTGGGCATATCAATGTCACTATTATCACTAAAGCCAATTTCAAGGCCTAAAAAGTTAAATGAAATTTAAAAACAGATTAAGAATCTCACTTCATGTGTGAAAATAAATCAAATTGAATGTGTTTTTCCATTGTCAAAACCCATACACAAGTTTTGAACAAAGTGAAAAATAAATAAATTGTGTAAACTGGCATGGGCCATAACTTTTAAACTGGCCGTCGAATTCAATTAAAAAAAGTTGGCCATCGATTATGCCAATAAAAGTAGCTTCAAAGCCATAAACGAAGTGCTGGCCGCTTAATCGAGTGCGAGAATAGCAAATAAGTTTCGAGTGCTCAAATACTCGAGTGTGTGCGTGTTTTTTATATTTTCTGTATGACTGTATGTGTGGAAAGGCAGTAGAGTTGTGGGAGTGCGTGTGTGTGTGTGTGTGCGCTTTGGGAAAATGGAAGGGAAAGTGCACTTTCAGCTAAGCGCTGGCGAAGAACAAAGCGCCGGCCAATTTGGTTTGACGCTTAAGCGCACTTAGCGGCCGACCATTGGCAAACACAAACACAAACACGGACACACGGCAACGGCAAACAGGACACGCCAAACACGCACACAGAGACACCTAACTACGTAATGGCTGGCAATTGTGCTTACGTCTAACAAGCAGCCAATAATGTCCTTTTTGATTTACCGATACACATTTGCATTTCTTTCAGCCACACAACAAATTGGCAAGCAGACGCCATTACAAATGAGCCACACACACATACACACATCACACTCACACACTGACACAATGGCAGGACGAGCCAATGTATTTTGTATAAATATCAATAAGAAGCATCAGCAGAAGTTTCCCCATATAATATATACATATGACAATAAATTTCTCTGTTCTTCGCTCTCTCCCTCTCTCTTTGTTTCTTTTCCACTTTTTTTTTTTAGTTTTTTTATTTTATTTTATTTTATTTATTCTTCCTTTTTGTTCTTGTTGCTGCCTTGGCTTTGTTAGAGAATAAACGGCAAAAACAGCATGCTGCAAACGTATTTACTCATGACCTTGCTAAAGCAAAGCCAGCAGCACTCGCACCCTGACACTCGCACACTCGCACACACACACACAGGGACCGCACAACCAACACAACCGCACTTGCCGCCGCTTGGCGTTGGCGCTTTGTCACAAGGACATTTTTCATGTGCGCAATGTGACAATTTTTCGGAATTTGTTAGTCTGACTCTGGTTTGTGCCAGTCGAGCCCGTTGAGAGTGCATAGATGCACCGTGGTTCGGAAACGAGCTTTATTTGATTTAAGTTTTTTAAATTTGTTTTTTTGATAATATATTTTCTTTTAAGCCACAGTCTTGGGATACTTAAGAAGTGCTTTATTTATAGGATTTATTTAAGTCAATTTCCAAGAGCTAAAAAATATATTATTTAATGTCAAGATGAGTGCACATTATTTGTTATATATAATATTCTATAAAACCAATAAAAACAAAATTAAACTTTGATTAATTTTAATCTAAACTAAACCCATTTTAATATACATTAGAGATATTACTAAAGATTTAAAATATTAAAAATATTTTAAAATACCAATATTTCTTTTTGATTTTGATTTAATAGAACCTAACCCACTGTGCGGGGTTCCTGCTCTCCTTTTTGTGTCTGCTTCCAGCAGCTGGCACTTTTTTTGTAACTGTAACTGTTTCGCTGTTGTCACTGCCCGCCGCCCTTTGCCCCCTGCCACCCAGCCCCCTGCCCCATGCCACTGGCCCGGCATACACTATGGTTTTTTGCTGTTGTTTGATTTGAAAATAAGTTTTGTATATTGTTCACTCCAGTTTTTATGGCACTCGAGCCTAGTCAGTTTGCATGTTGCATGTTTTAGCTGACTGTGTCTACACAGAGAGAAAACTGACTAAAGAATAAAAAGAATATTTTAATATGATATATTAAAATCAATGAGATATCTGGCATTAGTATATTACAGTTATTTTTAATTAACTTAGATTGTCTCTTAGATATTCTAATTTCATCAAATCATTATTTTGTTATTTCTTGTTCAGTGTAGAGTCCTTCTAACTGGGTGTCTTGTAACGTCCTTTTTGGTCCAATGCTCGACTGCAATTGTCGCATTTGTTGGTTTTTGTTGTTTCGAGTTGTTTGCATTTTCAAAATAATTGCTGAGCACATTTCGATGTTTGAATATTTGCATGCCAAACACAAACCCAGACACACGCACAGCGCACTATGGGGAATTTTGCCATTTCCGTGGTATTTAGTCATTTTATCAAACTTTAAATATTTGAGTTTTTTTTATGTAAACATATTAAAAATATATGGCTCTATAAAATGTAGTACCAGAAATGTTAATTAACAGTGCACTGTTAAGCCTATCCACTGTTAAAGTCGGCTGTTGTAGCCAAAATGCACGTGATTGAAAATAGCTATTTTTTATTCGGTTACTTTGAAATTGAAAAACTAAAAAGTAGAACTTATTTTTGATTAAAGTTTTGATGGAGACCAATAGTATTGGTAATTATTATGTGTTGTGTGTACTAATACATTGATCTGTGCGTGTCTTACTGATATATTGCGATTTTTCTAAGTGTTCCTCTAAAGAAATTTTTTTGAGAAAATATTTAACTTTAAACAGACCTATAAAAAATATATGTCTTTGTATTGCTGTACGTCCGATATATGTTGTAGAGGCATTCATTCTAAATAAAAGGCAATTTGTCTCAATGTGCACAAATCCGCACAATCTGCGTAATTTAATTTTTTTTGCAGGTCTTTTCGAGCAAATTTTACCAAGAAAAAACCATTTTTCAAGTTAATTACATATAAATATTAATGTGTCAAATCATTTTACCTGTTTAAAAGGCAAAAGCTAATTTTTTTGCATTAATGTAAGTGCCAAATGGAAGTTATTAGCGAATTTGGAGGCCTGGCCTCTTTTATGAAGAAATTGAATATGAAAATTACGTTTTTTATTTAATATCTGACGAAGAGCTTGAAAATTAAGACAATGTATTTTTTTTTATTATGTTTATAAAATATATTATTAAAAAAAAAAAAAAATTCACCTTATACACTTAAAAAAATAAATATAAAAATTAAAAAATCGTCAAGCGAGGGCGGAACCACGCCCATTTTTCCAAAAATCATTTCTTATGGAGTCCATAATTATAATAAAAAAAACCGTTTCGAAATATATTACTTAGTTTAAAAGTTATTAATTAATACCATAAAAATGGCCAAATTCCCCATAGTGCAGCGGTTCAAGGAGCAGGAGTGCGAGTGCCCTTAAATGTATGCTATGCAAAAGAATTTATTTCAACGCGAAACCCCTTTCGCCCGGCATTAATAATTGATGTTTAATATGCGGCCGGCATTTAAGGTTCAGCTTTTCAAGTGCTCTTAATAGTTGCCAGAGGCATATTAAAACATTAACCAAAGCTGCAGAATTTCGCTAAGGCCCCGAGCATTCATCAACGTTCCTCATCATCATCAGCAGGAAAGTCTCAACTCACTTTTTCGCTTTCACTTTTTTTTTTTTTTGGCGGTAAATTTCTGGGGGAAGTAATTATGATAAATGCAGGATATACACGAGTGAGGACGCCGTTTGCCTCTGCGG